GGGGAAGTAATCAGTAATTAGTTACTGATTACTTTTTTCAAGTAACTTGACCAACACTGGTGCTGATTGCTTGATTTTCCCAAAAATCTTACTGTAGTTGCTTATCTGACTTTAACCAGTCAGTGTAGAGCCCGAGGAGGTTTCTTCCAGCACAGACATACCTAACCCACAGCCTTACGTGTGTATTATGAACGCACAGCAAATGTCTTATAGTTCTTGTTGTGGAAAAATGGGCTTAATAAGGATAAAGGAGGTAACTGTCAGGTGAATTCCCAGAAAGACGTGGCCATCATGCTTTCTGCCTCCTGCACACTTTATACTGTTCCACATTGGAAAAGGAAACCAGTGTCCCCGGCTCATGTGCAGTGATTTATCATCACAGCAAGTAGCTCCACATTTGATTTAAGTTTTATTCCAGCTGCCCTTCCTGACACAACCCCAAAGGGAATTTGTATTACCCTTAAAAATGCCATGTTGAATTTTGTTGCCCCATCAGTTGTTACTATTTGATTTCTGACCAACTCAATGCTTTGCTAACCCTCTCTCTCTCCTCTTCCTTCCTTTGCTCCATAGCTTACAGGACCAACAGATCACAGTTACTTCGACAGCTACCCTCCAGATGATGACAGTCCTCCTGATGAGCTGTCTGGTTGGGACATGGACTTCTGAGGACTTCTCCTCCATCTTTCCAGCAGTTTCCTTCCACTGCACACATTAACAACTAAAATATAACAGGAAAAGTGGACTTACAGGTGACTTTACATCACCTCAGCCATGGTTTAGCAGCTTTATGATCGTCACAGATTGACAGATAATTGAAAATGGGATTTTACCAAAAGGTAAACCCGTATTGCTCCTGCATCTCCATACAATATGTGCACATTTGAATGGAAGTGGTGTAAAGGTTTACTGCTTGACTTTTCCTTTACTCTCTGTTTCACACTATTTTTGACAAAGACGTCGAGAAAAATCGAAGCGATTCAGAACAGTTTTAAGCTGCTCCAACAGCCGTGTCAGCGTTCAACATTCGAACAAAACTGGATGTGAAATGCACAAGCTTTTACCTCGGAGGAGTCGGGCCACCACCGAGACATTTGCCAGAAGCAGATTAAGAACATTACCAGAAAGGATTTTATTAATACCAACAAAACTGAAGGTTCTGGTTAATGGTGCTCAGTGTCACATGAATTAGCATGAAGCTGCCTAGCTTGACATACAGGATTAATGTATTAATCGCTAACCCAGAGAAAACTTCAGATGTAGCCCCGTTATGCAACAAAAAAAGAAAGATTTCTAATATTTGTGTTGAATCACATCAAGTCAGGTAAGTTAACACTCCTCAGCTGGCTAATGTTAGTGGGCTAAGAGGACACTCAGGGCTACTGTGGCTGCACAGAATCAACTAGCTCAATTTGTGGTATTACTGTGGAATATAACATTAGGTTAGAATAAGTAAGGTTAGCATCACAGTAGGATACAATTCTTTCTATACCTTCTATATGACATACACTCATCAGCAACTGGGATTCACAGCCATATTATCAGTTCAACACCTCGTGCAGCCACACAAACGGCTTAATCGGCTCACTGCAGAGTTAAACAGCTCGTTATGAAGCCGTCAGCCTGGAACCGGGTATTGGGATACACTAGGAGTCCATAATAACGCTTTTATAAACATTAACGAGCTTCTCTATAATCTGCTGCTGATATGTGCTGCAGCAGGGTGGTGTGCTGGATAAACACCTCCACCCCATATTCAACTAAAATGTTTATTTTTATTTATATAGGCCCGGTTCACAACAGTTGTCATCTCAAGACTCATTACGTTATAAGCTAAAGATCCTACAGTATTACGGAGAGAACCTCAAAGATCATATGAGGTAGAGAAGCAGAACCAGCCTGAGGGAGGGGCAGGAAACTAACCAAAACTACAGGAGAGTTGATCCCATGCAAAAGGGCGATATAAACACATGGGAAGTGATAACAGCCAGCACTGTGACTGGGGGATAAACTCCATGTAACTGTCCCCTTGTGGAAGTTTGAGCCCCTCTGTAAAGCAGAGTAACCCTGTGAGTTATTTTAGAGCTGGTGAAAGAGAACCTGCACTTCAATCCTGAACGTGCACTGTAATCTTAAAACATCTCCCAGTGGCAATGTGGACATTTCAGGGTAGCTTTCCAGTTGGTAATGCCCACAAAAAACAGTAAAAACTAAATTTATTGTGCTAACATCACATTAGAGTAACTACAGAAATGCAGAAATTACAGAAACGATTCACTGTCGTGTTTGTAGTTTTAGATTTCCTGAAGTTATCGGGTACAGCTTAAGCTTTTTTAAGTTTGCCCTCAGGCACGGTACATTTTATGGATGGTCCAGAAACACTCGGATGGTGTCATCGAGCTTCATAACCGATTGCTTTGGAGGGACCAAGAGTTTATTCAGCTCAGCATTCTTTGCCATACGTCATACTATTCTTATTTTGAATTCCCTAATTGCTCTTTTACTTCAGAAACATCGATGCGGCCTTTATTTCTAACAGCTAAAGGGAATTTGAGGAGATGATGAAAACCAACACACGCTGGATATGTACGCCAACAGAAACATCCATGAAGCATCTGTAGCTCCTTGTGCCAACTGTGTTATCCTCACAGCATCTTCACTTTTGTCACAGACGACAAACATAAAGACAGGAACACTTTCTCTCCACTTGAATCATAAAGTGTGAGCGTCTCGCGGTGGGCTTCGTGAGCCGGAGGCACGTTCGAGCCGTTGATGATGTGAGGAGGAACAGCAGAGGCCGAAGTGAGCAGAATATGTTTAGGGTTTACTGTGAGGTGATTCTGAGGAACCTGGGGTTTAAATTGGTGTGTTTTCCATTTTAAACACTTGAGGTACCACGTCTCTGTGTATATACTCAATAATATAAAGCACAAGCATCCGAAATACACAGTTTATACAATCTAACCTACTTGCTCCTTTATATAAACCTTAAAAAAACGGGTGAGTGAATTTGTAAATATCATGTATATTGTAAATGTGTCCTCTGATTGGTGAATGTTTGTGTGAGTTTGGAGGAGCAGTGCTGTTTCAGGACAGAGTTTTTTAACTGCATTTACACAGATCGGTTTAACATTTGAACTTTTTCATTTTATTAGTAAAGTGGTATTAACTCCAATTTCCTTTGGGCTGATCTGGAGGTTCTAGTCCACAGCAGATATTTCCTTTTCCTTTCAACAGCCCTAAAAGAGGTCTTACCTGTGGTTGGATCACACTCAAAGCTGTGGGCTGTCCTACAGTGGCCTACTTGTTGCTGCAATGGAAAACCGGAGGTGGATTTAGACGTTGAATTCACAAATTCTACTGTCATTACTGCAGAGGCAGATCTGATGGTAAAAGCAGAGGCACTTTGGTTAATGGCAGTCAGCGGAGCCCTCTCTGACAGATGAAGCTAGTGGTCTGTGCGTGAGAGTGGAAGTTGTTGGTTTATTTAAATGACTGATGACGTCTTGTTGTAATCAGAAGATTCTCATCACAAAAAAGTTTTATGAAGGTAAATATGATGCAAAATTCGAGGGCCTGTAAGATAAAATGTAGAAAACATTTTAAGTTTTGTTTTCACTTTTAAAAATCTTTCACACTCTTGTGTTACATCTACAAGCTCTCACGCGTTGCTACATATTTACCTTCGTACAGTTTAGGCCAGCAAGCCCACGGGGTGTGATCAGAAAGTTATGAGAACGGATCAATAAAAGTTTGATTCATTCTCACCTTGTTGTGCAACTTTGGACCATTTTCAGCGTGGCTGCTATTCTCTCAGAGGAAGTCCCATTATGTACTTGTACCTCTGGTATGTGCTGGATTTATTCCACCGCGTCAAAATGGTGATTCCTCAACCTTTCAGTGGGTGTGCTTCAACCTTTCAGAAAAGCAAATCTGGCGAGTGTACTTTGCACTCAAACTGGACAGCTAAAAACCTGCTGAGCTGTACCTGCAGACCCAGCTCTCATCAGCCGTGACAGGGAGATACAAAATCTGGGTCAGCTGGAAGCAGAAGTCTGAGGTTGGTGAGAAATCGCAGCACGGACAGTGAAATTTGTCAGAACTGGACATCCGGGGAGGGATCTAAAAATAGCAGCCACGCTGACTGAGAAGATGACCTTATGCGATTGGCCAAATATAAATCAGGCAAAGCTTTTGAATTTTACGAATATGTTCGAAAGTTCTTAATCTAATGTTATAGTGTAATAACAGATGTGTGGGGAGGCAGCTAAATAGCTGACTTTAACACTTTAAAGTGATTGAACTTAACTGGATTGCTAATCAGCACACATAATGTGCTACACTGTATCTATACCTGCCTTTGTCTGACGCGATCCTGAAAA